AGTGGCCAGATAGTTGAAGCACAAGGTAGGTGTTTCTAATAAAGTGGCCAGATAGTTGAAGCACAAGGTAGGTGTTTCTAATAAAGTAGCCAGAGAGTGGAAGTACAAAGTAGGTGTTTCTAATAAAGTGGCCAGTGAGTGGAAGGACAAGGTAGCTATTTCTAATAAAGTGGCCAGTTAGTGCAATGTACAAGGTAGGTGTTTCTAATAAAGTGGCCAGATAGTTGAAGCACAAGGTAGGTGTTTCTAATAAAGTGGCCAGTTAGTGGAAGTACAAGGTGGGTGTTTCTAATAAAGTGGCCAATACAAGGTAGGGGTAACCTGTATTGTAAACCTGTATTATAACGAGTTACAGCATCATGATAAAAACGGGGGGAAGGCTGAGACCACTGCTGGCGTTTCTGCCTCTCTTTAAAAAACGATTTGCTGAATGTTGTCAGTGCTTTCTTCACACTGTGGTGATGTGGAGCTGTGAGGTGTCACAGCCGAAGCAGATGTCGGGTGTAAACGGTCTCGTTTTAAAGAGCATGTTGCGGTAGGACTTGGTCCAATGCTGTAAACAGCGTCTCTGTTGGTGGATGAGATTTCCCAGGGCAGATGGAAAGAGCAGAGCTGGACCTTCAGAGGTTCCAGATTTGACAGGCAGTGTTTGGATGCCAGTGCTCCATCTGTTGTTGATTTAAAGCAAACGCCTCCACCTTTACTCCTGCCAGTTTAGTCAGGAGTCTCGTCCCTGAGGACTGAATGTCCCATGGTTGTACGGCTCTGTCCAACATGTAATCCAGGTTTCTCTGAAGCAACAAGTCCATCATTTACAAATACATTTTAATCTGAAGTTTATTCTCCTCAGACACTGCAGCACCTGCACACAGCTGCACTCCCTCATCTACTGCTGCTTACACGATTACTGTATACAGAGATTACAATAATGCAGATAGATAGACAGATAGACGGAAAGACACACAGACAGGACAGATAGACAGATAGATAGACAGATAGACAGACAGATAAATAGATAGATAGATAGATAGATAGATAGATAGATAGAAAGACACACACAGACAGACAGAAGGACAGATAGACAGATAGATAGACAGACAATAAACAGGCAGACGGACAGATAGATAGACAGAAAGACAGTTAGACAGACAGACAAACAGGTGGACAGACAGACAGACAGACAGACAGGTAGACAGACAGATCGATAGATAGATAGATAGATAGATAGATAGATAAACAGAGAGAGACAGACAGATAGATAGATAGACAGACAGACAGACAGGTAGACAGACAGACAGACAGACAGATAGATAGATAGATAGATAGATAGATAGATAGATAGATAAACAGAGAGAGACAGAGAGACAGACAGAGAGACAGACAGACAGGTAGACAGACAGACAAACAAACAGACAAACAGGTGGACAGACAGACAGACAGGTAGACAGACAGACAGACAGACAGACAGATAGATAGATAGATAGATAGATAGATAGATAGATAGATAAACAGAGAGAGACAGGTAGACAGACAGACAGACAGACAGAAAGATAGCTAGATAGACAGATTTATTTGCTTGCTTCATTTCTCTTTCACACCACACTGACAAAAAGTTGCTTAAAAGTTGCTTTAAATGTAAACGACTCAAATGTGTTCACTAAAAATGAATAAAATACGCTACATCAGCATAATTAACTGATTTACGTTAATGTAATATTCCATTTGTGTGGAACTGACGTCACATTCAAATCACGTACATTCAACAACTGTTCTTTCAGTGCGCACATTCGTTTCTTCCGTGTGTCTGTGAGAGTGGACAAGTGTCTCTCTGTCTCTGTCTCTGTCTCTCGCTCTGTCTCTCTGTCTGATCCTGTAGTAGAGAGTCTGAATCTCAGTCCTCTCTGTTTTCTGTTTTATCTCTCTGTATAATTCCCGAGTACAGCAGGTGTGATTCCTCTGTTTTAGGAAGCTCTGCAGCTGAGAGATCTTTGAATCTCACTGCAGTTGGTTCTTTAGGAGAACGACAGCAGTAGACTCTCTCTTTCAGGAGGAGAACGTTCCCTTCATCCGCCAGCTGGTCTCTATACACACAGCAGTCACAGAGTTACAGTGTTAAACTGGACCTTCTCTCATATACCTCTCTCTCTCTCTCTCTCTTTTTTCTCTCTCTCTCTCTCTCCATGTCTCTCTCCCTCCCTCTTTCTCTCTGTCCCTCTCTCTCTCTTTTTTCTCTCTCCCTCTTTTCTCCCTTCTCTTTTTTCTTTCTCTCTCTCTATCTCTTTCTCTTTCCCTTTCCTTTTTCTTTTTCTCTTTCTTAATTTCTTTCTCTATCCTTCTCTCTTTTTAAGTGTCTCTCTCTCTCCTTCTTTTTCTTTCTCTCTCCCTCCCTTTCTCTATCTCTGTCTCTCTTTCTATATATATATATATATATCTCCCTTTCTTTCTCCCTTCTCTTTTCTCTCTCCTTCTCTCTTTCTCTCAATTTCTTTCTCTTTAAGTCTCCCTCTCTCTTTCTGTGTGTATCTCTCTTTGCCTCTCTCTCCCTCTAGCTCTCTCTCCCTTTTTCTTTAAGTATCTCTCTCTGTATCTCTCTTTATATCTCCCTCTCCATCTACCCCTCTCTCCCTCTTTTTCTGTGTCTCACAATGTCTCTATTTATGTCTCTCTCTCTCCCTTCTTCTCTCCCTCTCTCGCTCTTTTCCAACACTGATGTTTCTGGCATCTCTTCCATTATACTGCTTCTTTTCCTCCCATAGTAAACTGGGTTTCCATGGTAACCACCTCCTATCTGTCCTCCTCTGAGTGGGATGTGGCCCTCAGAGGCAGAAGCTGAAAGGGTTAAATCATTCTCAATGCACCACGAGCTCGTCTGTCACATCTCCACCGTAAACTTCATCTTCGTGTCTCTGTTCTCTCAGAGCCTGTTTACACTGAGCCAGCGTGCCGTCCGCTGTTCTGGCTATTTCACCCCATCGCGCTCTATTTACTCCACCATCGTGGAGACCGTGGGGAACCCTCAGGGCCCTGTAGGGCTTCAGAGAGGGACTAATGACTGCATAAACAATCACTTACATCATTTTTGTCATTCTTGTCGTATTTAAACTCTGTAGCGAGTCTCTTATTTCATTGGTTAGAGTCTTTTCTAATCTACGTAGATACATTACAGCGAGTTCTCACGCTGGTTAAGACTTCAGGAGCTGGACTACCGTAATAATGACGATGTGGCAGAGCATTCAACCAATCATGTTTCGATTCAAAATGAGACCATTTTTGGGAGCACTCCAGAGCTGTGTCCGAAACTGTGCCCTATTGCTCTGCATCTGGGTCGCTCTGCTGCTTCGGTCCCGCAGCTCGTGTGAAAGCGCTGACCTGTTAACATCACACCGAAATGAAAATCAAGATGTTCCGCATCACTCACAGCACGCAGAGGCACAATCCTGAAAAACACGTTTCTTCAAGGTTTCTTTAGTAAAGAAAATGCTTCAATATAGTTTTATGGTCCTATATAACTGTTACAAACTTGACATTCAAATGTTCTACATAGAACCATATACAGCACATTCTCCATCAATCTGAAGAACCATTTCAGCATGCAAAGAAGCCTGCAAAGGGTTCTCTGAGTGAGCACGGTTCTATAAAGAACCATTGTTCTACTAAAGAACACTTAAAGAACCCTCTTTTTAAGAGCGTAGGATGTGTGAATCAGCCCTAGATGCCCTCAGCGTGGAAATGTTTTAAAGCAGAAAATTCAAGCCGATCAAATTCCACGTTTTGTTGATTTCCTAACCGAAAATTGAACATAACTTAAATTCAACTGGCTTTTTTCTGCAAATCTTTGAGCACAGTTTCTATTTTTTTGCTATAACCTCTGCACAGGCCAAATGTTTTATTTTTCATCCCAATGTTAAATTCAGAAAATGAACAGTGATTGTGCATTAAAATGCGCTGAAGTGTGTCTCTGTAGAGGACGTGATCACTTATTTATGCTTGGAAAATCAAAAAGATGTCATTTGCTAGGGGTGCACAAACTTAGAAACTTACATATGATTGCACTGATGATACAGTTTTGTTTTGTCGTTGTTAACAGAAAGTAAAAATCACTAAAAGAAAGTTTAATGCAGGTATTTTTTTCAAACAGCAGAGCTGTTTGACTGTCACATGTACATACGTACCTACAAACGTACCAATCTACATAATCTACAAAAGGACAAGTCATGCAGATCATGGCAGTTAGGATTGGCCTCCTTTTTGTTTTAGGCTATCCAGCCTTTGAAAGCTTTTACAATGAATTTTAATTCACGTGATGAAGAGCCCTAATCGATCACAAGGCAGCCCTGCTGCTGTAGAGTGTTGTCCATCTGTTGGTGTACTCTGTGAAATGAAGTCCATCAGGATTATCTGGGAGGTGATTAGTGGTGTGGAGTGAGGAGAGCTCCTGATATGACAGTTTCAATGTTGCTGGCTTTTTAAAACATAAATATATCACACTGAACAGCACAACCACACCTCCTTACTGCTTGCTGTGTGCTTTACTGAGAGCCGGAATATCCTAGTCTTATATTATACAGCCCCAATTCCACAAAAGTTGGGACGCTGTGTAAAATGTACATAAATGTAAATAAAAACAGAATGCAATTATTTCCAAATCTCATAGGCCCATGTTTTTTTCTGAAACTGTAGCGCTTCCCAGACGTTTACAGACTGTTGTTCAAAGAAGAGGGGATGCTACATGATGGTAGACGTGGCCCTGTGCCAACCTTTTTGAGATGTGTTGCTGCCATCAATTCAGCAACAATGGAGTTGGGGAACAATGCATGCGGTGCAACTGTTGCTGTTCTGTGTTGAAGGTTTAACCATTCACACATCACCGTTCAGCACAAAAGTTCTCTCAGGAGTGTCTGACAAACTTGGAAGACATTACTGAGTGCGAGTTTTCCTCCTACACAGTCTCCGGTTGTACACTGATACAGCAAGAAACAGAAAGTAGGAATGAAAGGTACCTGAAATGGACTCTGGCTGTTGTAGTTTTTGACCTCTTTATCAGCTCCTCGCACCAACAGCACACGAGCACAGTTATCCTGCAGAACAGACACTGTTAGAGCACGAAACACACTCAGACACACTGTGCAGTTCCATACAGAAGCCAGAGAGCATCCTTCACTTCCAGTCGAAACATCCCACCAAATACGAGTTCTTCATTTTTCAGATATGAGATATGAGATCATCCACCTGCATTAAGAAGGAGAAAGTCAAAGTGCAACAACAGGAGTTTCCAACACTGAGACTAAAAACTGATTAAAAGCTACAGAGGAAATGGGGCTCCTAACAACCACCTGGAAGAGCTGGTAGACACCAACCCTGCCCCCGTCAGATAAACAGCACTTAAAGCTTTCATCTCTGAGAGAGAGGAGAAAATCAAGCTGCTTCAGATCTGAAAACATCCACAGGTGTTTCTGTCCATCCTTCCACTGTGAGAAGACGACTCAGCGCTGTGGGTCTGAAAGGATGTGTAGCTGTCAAGAAGAACCTCACTGAGAAAAGGAGACGGACACACCAAACAAAGAAGCTGAACGATGGACTGACCACCCCAGAGTCCAGACCTCAACACCACTGAATGTGTTTGATTACTTCAGAAAATGATCAACCAGCTTCTAAGACTGAACTTTGGAGGTGTGTCTGCAGATTCTTTGAGGAACTGAAAGTGAGTCTCCTGAAAAGAATGGAAGCTGGAATAAAGGTAGAGTGACTCACTGACTCAGACAGCTGAGAGTAGATTTAGCTGTTGATGCTTTTGTGTGATTTTCTGCCAAATATATAATTTTTCTGACACAGTAAACTCAATAACTTGTACTTAATGCCTGTTTTGACTGGAAATGAACGGATAAATGAAGAGTGGTCTCTGCACAGTATATCCAGTGGTTCATACCTGGTTGTAGAGGGCACAGATGTGTAGGGCAGTGTTTCCTGAGGCGTTCTGGGCGCTCATATCCGCTCCGTAGAACAGCAGATGCTCCAGGTGCTGAACGTGGCCGTGTCTACAGGCCTGTAATACACAAACACAGCAGCAGAACAATAAGGGAGAGCAGACTGCAGCACCTTAAAGCAATGCAGCTTTAATGCTCAATGTACTATCAGCGCTGTACCATCTCAGAGGTCTGCTTCCTGAACCAAGCCTGACAAAATACCGGGTTTGGGCCGATTTTTCACGTCTGACATCAGGCTCACGTCAGGCTTGTGTTTGTTTTCTACTGAGTGTTCTTTATGTCATTAATTTAGTCTATAGCTGCGTTCTGAACGGCTCCAGAAGACGTTTTTAAGCTTGCCGAAAGCAGGTTCCAGCGGGTTTGGGTCGGGCTCTGGTTTCAAACTGAGCACTACCAGTCTGGCCTGGTCGGGTCTCTGAATGGCGGGTAGAGGTCAGCTTCAGTTTCATGCCTGTGCAGGCCTCTAACTACTGTAGATACTCTAAGGTTTTAAAGAACATTTAAGTTTTCTCCAGCCAGGAAAGGCCTCTGTCTGCTGGATCTGAGTTACTGTGGAAATTTAACGTATGATACAGATGCAGCAGATAGAGATTAGGCTAAAAATGCTGGATGACTCCTTTAAATCCCCACACGAGGCTGATATAAGGTCTAACAATTTTGGATTACTTGTTATAATAATCCTTTTTACTAACATGAAAAACAAACTAAAAGATTTTTTAGATGACTTAATGTTCAAATAAAAAAATAATTAATTCTAAATAATACTGTAATTATTGGTTTAGAAAAAATAATTCTAAGATTTGATCACCATTCTGAATATTAATTTTATTAGAACCTCATTATAGATATTCATTTTATCAGAACTTCTTCTGGATATTAATTTTACTAGAACTTCTTTCTGGATGCTAATTTTATTAGAACTTCAATCTGGCTATTAATTTATTAGAACTTGATTCTGGATATTAATTTTATTAGAACTTCATTCTGAATGACTCCGATGAGATACAGTGTCAGTGTTGCAGTAACAGAATCCAGCCACTAGATGTCAGTGTGAGTTTGATGTGTACAGTGTTCAGCTTCTCCATTTTTCACACTGACAGGCTTTCAGCGCCGCGCTAAGACACATTCATCAACCGTGCAAAAAAGATGTGACACATTCATCAGTCCAGACAGACAATTTCAGCAATAATAGAAACCTGAAATATTCATAATAATCAAATATCAGAATATCGAGGTGGCGGGTCAAAGTTCCTTTATGAGAGCAGGCAATGCTCACACACCAAAATACAGCCTGTTTTTGAAAAGTTATGAAGACAAAAGAGCTGCATGTCTCAGGATATGCTATAGAGATGGATTTACAATAAGAAATATTAATAGTATGGTGGTTTTCATAATGATAACAATAATAATGTTATTTATATAGCGGCTTATATGCATAAAAACACAGCTGAAAGTACTTTACAGTATATTTAAACAGTAAAATACTGTTGATAATTTAAATAAACTAGACAAAAAAGCATGTTTTTTTAAAAAAGATGATTTTGACTGTTGAACAAATGCTGTGTAAAGAACAGAAGCAGTGACGTCTAGCACAGATGACATTTGTTTATGGGATGGTATTTGTTTACTCAGATGGTGGTTGTTTACTGAGCGGTTTTTGTTGTTTGCTGTGTGTCAGGGCAAAATTGGGGCTGGAGAAGGCCATACTAAAGGACAATGGACCCGAAAAGGGCAGCAGCGATAGCAGACATAAAGGTACAAAAGAAAATAGACCAACTGATTAGTTTCATATGTCACTCCATTGCCAGTGAATGCATTGCGAAATGTATTGTTGTTGTTAACTGTAATCTTTTTGATAAAATATTAATATAATTAAAATATAAATTAAATATTTTCCCCTCCCACAGCTGCTCCTAACCATAGCCAGCTCCTAGTGTGCTAACTAAATAACTAGCTACATTATGGTTAATGTTGGTAATGGTGAGTAAACAAGCTTTAAGTCTTATATGGTGATTCTGCACCAGGAGCCGTAATGCAGAAACATCCTAACCCTGAAATCTTCAGTACGGACTGAATTCAGGACAGTAGCTGTTCCAGAATAACAGCTCCTAACTTCATAATCTCATCATGAACTCCAGATAAGAAAACAGCATCACACAAACATCCTAACTAGACTGAACCTCCTAAATCCTGTCCTAACTTTAGGATGAACCCCAACAGGGTCCTCACTTCTGTTTAAGGTCCGTTTCTATGGTTTTTAGGCAGCTGTGTCAGCAGCATAGTTCACTACCAGCATAATGAGCTCCATTTATTTCTACTGTAAAACGCTGCTTTCACTGTGAGATGATTTTCTTTTCTAACTCTGCGTTTTAAAGATCTCAGACGCTGCAGACTCGATCTCCACCGCCCCTCTGATCACCTTCCTGTGTTAATGTTGATGATGAAATATTACAGTGACGGTGGTGAATAATGAGGAGACGGAGCTGAACGTGTGTCTGTTTATTAGGAGGAGTAACGTTAGCGCGCTCGGCTAAAGCGTTTGGGAAATGGAGACTGAAACTGGGGAGTGGCGACGCTCTGATAAACAGCAGGGGGCGCTCTCACAGTATTCATAACTTACAGTTTATCACTCTTTAGTTCTTTTTTAAAATCAGTAACAGCAGCTGTCTGACTAACTAACTTGTGCATGTGGTTGGCTGCCCCGTAACAAACATGACAGTTGTTTGTTGGTTTCAGCTGAGTAGGTTGAGATTTCCTAACTGGAGATAAGACGCTGTAAGATAAAATCAGATTTGCTTCTGTAATACAAATTCATGAAAAAATGATCCTGACCTGTCAGATCTTAGGACAAAAAGACAGGAAGTCTCTGTAATACGGCTCCGGAATAACACCTTCTATCACTGGAGCAGGAATTATCAGCCACTTTGATGAGACAACTGCTGTCTTTTAGAAGTTGCCATAGACGTCCATGCTAGTGCTGTAAAAGCAGCCTCTGATTTATTAGTCGTTCCCTGAGATGTTATTCTGCCTGTCGTTACAGTAGGTAGCTAATTGTGAGGTAAGCAATCATGTATTATGTTTAAAAGGTTTGTAGCATATTTTTGTATGGCTTTGTGAGAATAAAGACAGTCAGCCAGTTTATTGTGACACATTTTCCAATCTCTCTTTACCCCTTTAGAATTAAACAGGCTGTTTGTGGCTCTGTGGGTGGGGCTAAACTGCTGTAGCTGAATGGTGGGGCTAAACTGCTGTAGACTGAATGGTGGGGCTAAACTGCTGTAGACTGAATGGTGGGGCTAAACTGCTGTAGCTGAATGGGTGGGGTTAACTGCTGTAGGCTGAATGGTGGGGCTAAACTGCTGTAGCTGAATGGTGGGGCTAAACTGCTGTAGCTGAATGGGTGGGGTTAACTGCTGTAGGCTGAATGGTGGGGCTAAACTGCTGTAGCTGAATGGTGGGGCTAAACTGCTGTAGCTGAATGGGTGGGGCTAAACTGCTGTAGACTGAATGGTGGGGCTAAACTGCTGTAGACTGAATGGTGGGGCTAAACTGCTGTAGCTGAATGGTGGAGCTAAACTGCTGTAGACTGAATGGTGGAGCTAAACTGCTGTAGCTGAATGGGTGGAGCTAAACTGCTGTAGACTGAATGGTGGGGCTAAACTGCTGTAGCTGAATGGGTGGAGCTAAACTGCTGTAGACTGAATGGTGGAGCTAAACTGCTGTAGACTGAATGGGTGGGGCTAAACTGCTGTAGACTGAATGGTGGAGCTAAACTCCTGTAGCTGAATGGTGGGGCTAAACTGCTGTAGCTGAATGGGTGGGGCTAAACTGCTGTAGGCTGAATGGGTGGAGCTAAACTCCTGTAGCTGAATGGTGGGGCTAAACTGCTGTAGCTGAATGGTGGAGCTAAACTCCTGTAGCTGAATGGTGGGGCTAAACTGCTGTAGCTGAATGGTGGAGCTAAACTGCTGTAGACTGAATGGTGGGGCTAAACTGCTGTAGCTGAATGGGTGGAGCTAAACTGCTGTAGACTGAATGGGTGGGGCTAAACTGCTGTAGACTGAATGGTGGAGCTAAACTGCTGTAGCTGAATGGTGGGGCTAAACTGCTGTAGACTGAATGGGTGGGGCTAAACTGCTGTAGCTGAATGGTGGAGCTAAACTGCTGTAGCTGAATGGTGGAGCTAAACTGCTGTAGACTGAATGGGTGGGGCTAAACTGCTGTAGACTGAGTAAGCGGTCATAAGGGAATGTGTTTGTGGTTGTAACATCATAACCATCCTGTGTTCGATATGGTCTGGTTTTGTAGCGTAGTCTCCACATCTGGGCTGTACAGACAGACTGTGTTTCAAAACTTCTAATATTTATTCGCTGCTCCATTTCAAAAAGAATGTAAAATTAGATTTTCCATGATATCGGCCCTTTAATGATGAGGCCTGAACAAATATCAGAGCAGACTGTGGGGAAATATCAGAGGTCAAAGCTGACTTAAGGTCAAGCTGAATGTCAGCAGGATGCGCAGGCCACTGACGTTCATAGAGAGATGTGACAGATGAGGGTGAGGGGTCAGGGGTCACCTGGTGGACCTCGTGCCAGCCGTTCTCGTCCTGGCAGCAGACAGAGGCGTGTTCGCGCAGCAGGAGCTCGCAGCAGGCCGGGTCGCCCCCCACCATGGCCGTGTGGTAGAGAGCGGTCAGCCCACGGCTGTCCTTATAGTCCGGAGACGCACCCAACTCCAGCAGAGTCTGATCACACAGAGAGGACAGCATAACAAATCTAATATTATATACAGTGCTGTGCAAAAATCAGAGACCCCCTTTCATTTATTTACTTTACAGTCAAAACAGCCACTGAACACAGGTTTTTATTCTTCAGCATCAAGAAAAATAATCTCAGCTGTGTGTGAGTCAGTGAGTCACTCTCCACCTTTATTCCAGCTTCCATTCTTTTCAGGAGACTCACTTTCAGTTCCTCAAAGAATCTGCAGACACACCTCCAAAGTTCAGTCTTAGAAGCTGGTTGATGATTTTCTGAAGTAATCAAACACATTCAGTGGTGTTGAGGTCTGGACTCTGGGGTGGTCAGTCCATCGTTCAGCTTCTTTGTTTGATGTGTCCGTCTCCTTTTCTCAGTGAGGTTCTTCTTGATCAGCTACACATCCTTTCAGACCCACAGCGCTGAGTCGTCTTCTCACAGTGGAAGGATGGACAGAAACACCTGTGGATGTTTTCAGATCTGAAGCAGCTTGATTTTCTCCTCTCTCTCAGAGATGAAAGCTTTAAGTGCTGTTTATCTGATGGGGGCAGTTTTGGGGTCGACCAGGTCTTCCAGGGGGTTGTTAGGAGTCTCATTTTCTCTGTAGCTTTTAATCAGTTTTTTTTACTCTGTTCTTCTGTATCATTATATAAGCGAATTATATTATATCTAATCTCCTCAGAAATGTCTCACTTTATTTGAATAGTCCACTATGGTCCCCTATAGATTCTCTACAGATGTTCAAATTGTTAAAAAATCTGTTGAAACTCTAAACAGTGGTTGGTTGGGGTTAGGATTTGGACCAGGGTGAGGGTTGGGTTTAGGTTTTGTGTTGAGGTTAGGATTAGGATTAGGATTAGAGCCGATTTAGAGTTAGAAAATTATGGTCAATTTAGTAGATATTCAGTTGAATGTAACTTCTGCTTCTACAAAGCATCTAAGGTGGACTATCCAAACAAAGTGGTACCAAAGTGTCTTTTGAAAAATGAATAACTTGTATGTAATGGCTGTGTTGACTGGAAATTAAGCAAATAAAGGAGTTCTCTGACTTTTGTATTGTATAACATATCTATATAACATAACGTACAGGACAGGTGGACTGTAATGATTCAGACATTTCAGAATTTGGTTCAATATGATACAGTGAACGACACAGTGGAGTTCAGCCTGATCCATCCAGACTGGCAGCACAGAAGCACTGAACAAACACTGATTTATGGCGCCCAAATATATAATATAAAATCCACGATATACCACGGCTCTGACCGCCTCACAGCGACTGAACTCTGTATCACTGCGCGGAAACCCTTCTGCTGTTAATGGATTAATCTTTGACTCTAACACTGATCACACAGAGCACTGAGTGTACTGATGAAGTAAGAACCCGGTTCTGTTTACACTGAGGGGCTGAAAAGGTATTTTCATATCTAGAACTGAGCTGGTCAGCTAGTTAACAGGCTAAAAGACAGCAAACATGCTAAACAGCTCCATTGATAATATCACAGGCTTGAATTAAAGGACTTACAGTGTGATTCACTGTAAAACAGCAATATAAAAGTCTAAAGAACGTCACCTGAATGTTTTACACGCTTTAAATATCTGTGTTTCAGTCAGAAGTCATGTCAAATCCAGGCTGAGTCCCAAACGGCTCTGTACTCCCTAAATAGTGAGCTGTGTGACAGTAAGTTTAGAAATTCCAGCTTCTGCTGTCAGATACTGCACTGCCTGTCGAGTCTGAATGTGGATGAATCCCAGATGACCATTTTTAGTGATGTTTTGCTCTGTTGGGCTGCAGGAGTCGGTATTTAAACTCCTACGTAGTGCACTATGTAGGGAGCAGGGAGCTGTTTGAGATTCAGCCCCAGCGTGAGAAAAGTGGCGTCGTCAGACTGGCAGAAAGACTCGCGGTGGTGATTTAGTGACCATGAAGTGCTTAAAAACTGAAAGTATTTACATTAAACAGTGCTGTGTTATCATATGTTCACTGTTACACGAAATAAGTTCTAAAAATTATGAAATGTCTGCAGTTTACAGTGATTGGCGACCTGCTTAGTAAGGATACCATACAGAGCTACATTTCTTGGCGGAATACTTTATTTTGGTTATTATTAATAATGACAAAGATAATTATCTAAAATATTGTGTATTTTAATAAATTTCATGTTGGCCGCCCATTTTAAAAATCAATAAGCCACTCAAGGCAGTGATTTTATCACAGGGAAGGGAGTTTTACTCTGCTTTGCGTCGTGCTAAAGAACACCCTTCCCCGTGATCAATCACAGTAACCCACATTAGGCCTCTCATGGCTTATTGCTTTAATGTTTGGTAATATAAGCATAACCTACATAACGTAGCATATATACAACATAATAAGATCATAGTTTCTGAAATGTATGAGCAAATACAACACAGCAAAAACAAACCACTGCATCCTCTACCTGTTATTTTCTCTACATCAATCTGACCTCCCTCTCTCTCTCTCTCTCTCCCTCTCTCTCTCTCTGTCTCTCTCTCTGTCTCTCTCTCTCTCTCTCTCTCTCTCTGTCCGTACCATCAGCGTGGTGCTGTTTTTGGACCGAGCTGCTTTGTGCAGAGCGGTCATGCCGTCTTTAGCTCTGAAGTCCAGGTGAGCTCCTCCGTTCTTTAGCGCTTTAATTATCTCCACCGCGTTCTCCAGGTGAGCCGCAAACGTCAGAGGACTCTCTGCACAGAACACACAAACACGTATCTGCATGGATCATGTAGTATTAATATGGACCATACATCACATAGGTTTTACATTTAAGTATCTATGTGAAATAATGTCTCATATATATATATAATATATGTAAGCATCTTCATATATTAAATGCATGTATCTATATGTAAAAATTATATATCCCATATATTTTATACATTTGTATTTATCTATGTGAAATAATGTCCCATATGTATTACATATATGTAGCAACCTCTATGTAAAAAGTCCCACGTCATAAATATACGTAACTATCTATATGCAATGTCCTATATGTGTTATGTATTTGTAAGTACCTATATGTAATAATAAGATGTCCCATATCTATTATATATGTGTGTGTGTGTGTGTATATATATATATATATATATATATATATATATATATATATAATCTATATGTAATTCCCACATGTAATAAATTTGCAAAAGTACCTACATGTAATAATAACATGTCCCATATGTCTTACATATAAAAAATATTATATATATATATATATATATATATATATATATATATATGTATGTATTATATAAGTGTAGGTATCTATATGTAATAACAATATATCCCATATATGTTATATATTTGTAAGTATCTATTTGCAGTATGGGCCATTTGTATTATAAATGTAAGTATCTATATGTAATAATAACATGTCCAATATCTATTACATATATATATATATATATGTAAGAACCTGTGTTCTGGTGATAATAATATATCCCTCATGTATGACATATATGTAAGTATCTGTATGTAATCATACATCCCATATAATTTAAGTGCAACCTATCATTACCCACTTTGATGCTCCGGTGAGGCTTTAAAGAGGTTTTTTCCTCTTTTCTGTTGTCAGATGGCACTTTATTCTATATCTGTCAGATTATATTGATTTCAGCGAGCCGGCTGAGCTGCGAGTGGGCAGAGGCGGACGATTATCTCTGAGCACACAGAATATCTGTCACTGTGGAAATAACCTGCTATTACAGCAGCTTTCAGAGGGAGAACAGCCTCAACAGCCTGAAAAAGCTCCTCTGTCATGCACTCTATTATGAATGAGCAGGTAAACGAAACCCTGCGCAGCTTTTAACCTCTCAAATTGGCAGTGTGTGTCAACAAGGATGAATTGAGTGAACTAAGCGAGCGCAGCTCCTGTTAATTCACTCAGGAGTCGAGCTGCAGGCCGGACCGCTCAGCTTTCAGCTCATTAAATCAAACCAGCGTTTTACAAAATCCAATTTATTACACATTTTATGAAATAATAAGTGTTGAGAGATTCACTACACATGAGCCTACTGACAGGCAGGCCTTTAGCTATCTATGATTTATGATTAGCATTTAATGATTTATTTGTAAATATTAACCCTTTAAGTTCGGCTCTCCTGTAGTAATGATTTCTCAATGCAGATTTGCTTTGATTAAAAAACATCTCACACCCAGAAAGACAACAGTGTCCTAGTTTATCTGCTAAGAGTTTAATTTAATTTAACTACATTATTATATCATTAAAAATTATATTATAAATATTTTAATAGCGTAGTATGGCGTAGTAAGCAAACACAAAACGGACAGTTTTCAATTCACAGCTTTTGTGAAAGGTTTTCTACAGAACCATTTACAACACATTCTTCGTCAATCTGAAGAACCATTTCACCATGTAAAGAGCCATTTAAGTTCTACACTCTTAAAAATGGTTCTTCAACGGTTCTTTAGTAAAAATAGAATGTGTTGTATATGGTTTTTTTATAGAACCTTTTTGAAAATGGTTCTATACAGCACCAAAAAAGGTTCTTCTATTGTATACAAGCCTGACACCATAACAATAGAAGAACACTTTTCAAAAAGGTTCTATACAGAACCATATACAACACATTCTTCATCAATCTCAAGAACCATGTCACCATGCAAAGACCCATGTAAGCACTTAAACGGTTCTACACTCTTAAAAATGGTTCTTCAAGGGTTCTTTAGTAAAATCAGAATGTGTTGTTTTATGTATGTGTGGTTTTATGAAAAGGGTTCTACATGGCACCAAAAAAGGTTCTTCTATTATTACAAGCATGACATCATAACAATAGAAGAACCTTTTTTGTACTATATAGAACCCTTTTCAAAAAGGTTCCATACAGAACCATATACAACACATTCTTCGTCAATCTGAAGAACCATTTCACCATGCAGAGAACGATTTAAGAATTTAAAAGGTTCTACACTTCAAGGGTTCTTTAGTAAAAACAGAATGTGTTGTATATGGTTTTATATTATATAGAACCTTTTTGAAAAGGGTTCTATATGGCACAAAAACGTTATTCTAATATTACAAGCTTGACATCATAACAATAGAAGAACCCTTTTTGTTACTATGTAGAACGCTTTTCAAAAAGGTTCTATACAGAACCATATACCACACATTCTTCATCAGAGAACTATTAAATCTTGCACAGAGTTCTTTAAGTTTTCATGGTTCTATGTAGAACCAATTTCTTTACTAAAGAACCCTTGAAGACCCATAATTTTCAGGAGGGTAGGAGAAGAACCTGAGATTAAGAGGAGATCTCGTTCAGAACATCTCTGTCCTCTGTGAAGTAATACTGGTGTGAATGATACTGATCACTAGCTGGCTCCTGTGTTCCGTACACTGATATGTAATATTGATAATTGTGTAAACGAGCTCATTAGCAGAGCCGGTCTCGGCTAATAAGCTAATGTGTGGATTCACAGAGCTGTGCGGTGAACAGGAGCGCTCGTCAATATTACACACCATCCTAACATCGTTCTCTCTCTCAACACAAACATCCATAAAGGCCACAAACACTCCAGTACTGTAGCTCCTGTACTGTACAATAGAAAGTCAATGTGATTGACTGTGTTAAAGGGCAGACGGGCTGAAACTGGTCTCGTCTGTGATTGATGAAAGAAGCCAAAGCCAAGAGAAACACAAACTAGGACAAACTGAGGTAATGTAACATTGGTGGTACATACACAGGACACTGCCCACCTTAAAGGGTCCATATCCTACACTTTTCTTGCATTTCATTTTAGCGGAATAACATCACGGCTGTGATTTGGTGGCCGTAGATCATCACAGCCGTGATGTTATTGGCGATAACACACTCCTCGAGTGTTCTACTGCTTTAATACAACAGTTAAATAAATAAAGTAATAAATTAATAAACTGGGCCGTGAACGCGGCGTTTAATATGTTTTAATGTTCGCAGTTCCTTCACCAAATTATAGTTCCTTAACGAGCAGCTTGTTGCTACGTCAGAGTAACAAGCTCCGCCCACTCGCTGCACAGCCGGCAGTTTGTTCTCCAGCTCCTTACACTAAATTCCCAAACTGTCATCACCACTGAGCAGCTTTTCAGTCGGCAGCTGTGACAGAAGAACAGCTGAACAACCTGGAATCAGCCAGAAATGAACCCAACACCATTCGCCAAACTAAATGGGCTGTAAGATGCTTTACAGACTGGCTGGAACAAAACAACATTAATACTGATCTGGCAAAAACTGACAAAACTGAGCTGAACTTGATATTGTGGCAGTTTTATGGCTCGGTCTGATTTGGTCAGACTCTGAAGATCAGACTACACGTTTGGTGAATGAATTGGGTTCATTTCTGGCTGATTCCAGGTTGTTTAGCTGTTCTTCTGTCACAGCTGCCGACTGAAAAGCTGCTCAGTGGTGATGACAGTTTGGGAATTTAGTGTCGTCTCATCTTCAGAGTCTGACCAAATCGGCTGTCGGTCAAATGTGATCTTAAAAGTGTCCGTTTTCTGTTTGTGGCAAAGTAAGAAGTAAAAACATTCAAATGTCTTGAGCGTCTCCTACAGCTGCCAAAGTCGTTGCTTAGCAACGGGGTCTCAGCGGAGTGACACAGTGTTTGTGAAAAACCTGTGATGTTATGGTGAAATAACAGCACAGTTAGAACGCTTCTCGACCAATCAGCTCGCGTGGCCGAAACTAACTGTTGTATATTTTAGCATATATTACTTCAATGATGTCTGTAAATAATGGTAATTATCAGACTCGCTCCAGTGGTTGGTCACATCTCAGGTACCGAGGGTTTTTTCCTGAACTGGGAAAATCTGCCTTTAGTTCCAGAGCACCAGCGAACTGGACCCTCACTACAGGAAACACTAAAGCTCAGCTCACTGGTCACTCAGTCATTTTAAACTATGACTCTCTAACCACCTCCACTCTGTCTGACACTGATTTACCCGATTTTCACTATCAGTGTCTTATTTTCATTATTTTAGTTATTTAGTTATTTATCATTATTCATATTCTTGTTTCAATTATGACCACTTTATCATTATTTCAGTCATTTTAATTAATTTTTGGTTGCTTTTTCGATCTTATCCTGCTTTTTTTTATTTATCTTCTTTTGATTTTATTAACTTTTACTTTTAAGTTAAGCTTTAATTATTGTTTGTATATTTTCTATTGTTTTTTATTTAGTTTGTTGTTTTTATTTTTAATGTTTCATTGTTTATGCTTACCTAAACTGCATATTTTTTATTATTAAATTTACTTTTATGTTCATTTTCAGTCCCTTTTTTCTGTATTAACTCAGCAACACCGTAAATGAGGGTCACCCTCAATGTTCTCTGAGGTTAAATAAAGGTTGATTGACTGATTGATTGATTGACTGAATGTCATGTTCACTTATGATGTTTGTCATTTATTTAATTATTTTTGACATTATCATTTTCCAACCTCTCTTTATCCCTTTGAATTAAACAGGCTGTTTTGTTACTGTGCCTTTAAGACTGATATATGTAAATGAGCTCTGTTCTGAGTGGCTGCTCTCTATTGTGTGTCAATGAATAAACAAACCAAGCTAAGGCACTCCTTATAATTTCAGTGTGAGTGGGCGGAGCCAAACTTGCTGAAGTTTGAATAGGTGGAAATGCATAAATGTGTTGGTTATAGTGACACAAAATGGACTGGTGAATGTTTCCACTTATGGTCTATATCAGGGGCGTCAAACTCAACCACTAAAAGGGTCGTATTAAAAAATCTCAGCAAATCTGTGGGCCAGCTGTGTTTTTATTTCATTTTGCCCTGACCCCAACTGGCTATTGTTTATTCAAAATGTGCCAAAACTGCAACAGCAAAATAGGCATTAAATACTTATTCAAAAATAATTCTAAATAAAAATAAATTGTTTTAGATAGTATTTTTTTTGAAAAATGACTATTTGCTTGAACTAGACCCTGGCATCTTTTCTTTTTGTGTAACTGCTGGCCCATAGATTGTTGTTGGGGGTCAGAACACACACTATGTTGCAGTGCGTACTGGAGACTGTAGTGTATCTCTGGGTAAAATGGGTTAATAATAATAAAGAATTAAAATAATTTCACAGGCCGAATAGGACTGTGTCACGGGCCTGACTTGGCCAGCAGGCCTTGTGTTTGACACATTGTGTCTAATATATATATATATATATATATATATATATTAGATAGATAGATAGATATATTGATATAGCTAAATTATCTTAAATCTACTATACATATCTAATATTTTACTTCACTAATATCTAATTTCCAATATTCAATATATTTCTAATATCCACTATTTGTAGGATTTTTTTTACTTGTTTTAAGTATTTTTATTAAGCAAAGTGATCTCACTATATTGGCAGATAACATTGCTTATTTTAAGAAATATGCTTGCAATAGTCATTATCACCCAGTATATTAAGATCATTTTGCTTAAAAAATACTCAAAATAAAGACAAAAAAGCCAAATATTCTTATAATATTCCCACAACCATCTCAAAATGTGTAATATTCAATATTTAGAGTACATTTAAGGTCATTTCTCTTGCCCAGATATCATTTTTTGCAGTGCCCCTTTGCCACAAGTTTGTGAAATTCCTGCTCCGAACTTTGAGATGTTTCAGGATTTTGCTCAGAGAAGCTGAGATGGAATTTAGTGGGACAAACTGAACTGAACGCAGTAATACACTATGTCCTCCAGGGTGTGTGTGTGAGTGTGTGTGTGGTCATACCCCCCGTGTCTGGGTCGTGGTAGTTGGGGTCCAGCCCTCGATCCAACATTTTGGAGATTTTCTCTAACTGGTGATTTTGGATGTAATCCATAAACTTCCTCAGGTTGGCCTACAGAGAGGAAAGACAGGGAGTAAGAGCGAGAGAGTGAAAGAGAGAGATAAGAGGGGGAGAGAGAGAGAGAGAGAGAGACAAGAGAGAGAGAGAGAAAGGGACAAGAGAGAGAAAAGAGCAAGAAAGAGAAAGAGTGAAGAGAGCGGGAGAGAGAAAGGAGGGAGAGAGAGTGAGAAGAGAAAAGAGGGGGAGAGAAAAAAATGAGAAAGAGAAAGAGATAAAGGGAAAGAAAGAGAAAAGAGAGGGAGAGAGAGTGAAAGAGAGGGAGAGAGAGAGAGAGAGAGAGTGAGTGAGTATGTGTGTGACTGCAGTAAGACGAATGAAGGCTGCCTGTGCGTTTGAGGACAGTTATTAATAGGTAACGGAGCAGCTCCCTAAACACCAGCAAAAAGAGGAGCGAGGAAGAGGAGGAGAGGAGGAGAAGATAGCAGATGAAGGTCAGAAGAGAGGGAGGAGAAGCAGAAACGTCGCCATAGCGACCACAGGCCAGTGGCCAGCTTAGAGAAGAAGACACCGCAGTTACGGAATAAAAGACACGACACAGTAAATGTTCCAGTAAAATAACAGAAACTAACATGAATATTAATACATTTTAATCTGCTCTTCTCCATTAACATGGGAATTCCTGAATGATGTTGCTGCATTTATGTGATATGAAAGTGACCACCATTAGGGGGCCATCTTCAGGTAGTGGTTTACTGGATATTAGATTTATTGGGTTTTCTGGCCCAGACCTGAAAATGACTAATTTAAATGAAGTCTGGAACAAACTGCATAATTTGAAACCTCCACTTAGTTTGCATTGTGTTAAATTTCATGATGAACGATGAGATAACAAGATAATTATATACAATAATTATAAATTACTGAAAATCTTGTTTCATTAACTTCCGCTTTAAATAAAGAACATTTTTTTCTACTGTAAAATTAGAATTTTGGAGATATAAGATTTTGTTCCAACAGTGACATAATAAGCAATAATATATGCCCTATATGTATTATATAAATGTAGGTAATTAAATGTAAAAATATGCCCCATATACTTTATATACGTGTATTTATAAATAATAATAATATGCCTTTATGTACAGTTGTGCTTGAAAGTTTGTGAACCCTTTAGAAGTTTCTATATTTCTGCATAAATTTGACCTGAAACTTCATCAGAAGTCCAAATAGTAGATAAAGAGAACCAAATTAAACAAATGAGACAAAAATATTGAACTTGGTCATGTATTTATTGAGGAAAATAACCCAATATTACAGATCTGTGAGCGGCAAAAGTGTGTGACCCTTTGCTCTCAGTATCTGGTTTGACCTCCTTGTGCAGCAACATTTCCGGTAACTGTTGATGAGTCCTCCACGTCGGCTTGGTGGAGTTTTAGCCCCTCCATACTAAAACAGCTTCGGCTCTGTTATGTTGGTGGGTTTCCTCCCATGAACTGCTGCTTCAGGTCTTCCACAACATTTCTACAGGATTAAGTTCAGGACTTTGACTTAGTCATTCCAAACATTACCTTTATTCTTCTTTAACCGTTCGATGACTTGTGTGCTTAGGGTCGTTGTCTTGCTGCATGACCCATGTTCTCTTGAGGTTCAGCTCACGGACAGATGTCCTGACATTTTCCTTTAGAATTTGCTGGTATAATTCAGAGTTCATTGATCCATCAATGATGGCAAGCTGTTCTGGCCCAGATGCAGCAAAACAGGCCCACACCATGATACTACCACCACCATGTTTCACAGATGGGATAAGGCTTTTATGCTGTAATGCAGTGTTTTCCTTTCTGCAAACATAACGTTTCTCATTTAAACCAAAAAAGATCTGTTTTGGTCTCATCCGTCCACAAAACATTGTTCCAATAGCCTCTGGGTTTCTCTGTGTGATCTTTAGCAAACTGCAGACGGGCAGCAGTGTTCGTTTTGGAGAGCAGTGGCTTCTCCCTGCAACCCTGCCATGCACACCATTGTTGTTCAGTCTTTTCCTGACGGTGAACTCATGATCATTAACATTAGCCACTGTGAGGCCTTTAGTTACTTAGAAGTTACCCTGGGTTCCTTTGTGACCTCACAGACTATTACACACATTGCTCTTGGTGTGATCTTTGTTGGTCGACCACTCCTGGGAAGCATAACAGGGTCCTGAATTTCCTCCACTTGTACACTCTGTCTGACTGTGATTGATGGAGTCCTTTTCCAGCCTGATGAGCATCAACAGCTCTTCTTCTGAGGTCCTCAGGAATCTCCTTTGTTCATGCCATGATGCACTTCCATAAACATGTGTTGTGAAGATCAGACTGTGACAGATCCCTGTTCTTTAAATAAAGCAGGATGGTCACTCACCTGATCACCATCCCATTGGTTAAAAACACCTGACTCTAATCTCACCTTCAAATTATGTGCTGATCCCAAAGGTTCACATACTTTTGCCACTTACAGATATGAAATATTGGATCATTTTCGTTTTCCTTATAAAATAAATTACCAAATCTAATATTTTTGTCTCATTTGTCTAATTTGGCTCTCTTTATCTACTATTAGGACTTGTGTGAAAATCTGATGACATTTTATGTCAAATTTATGTAGAAATATATAAAATATATAAAATACAGAAATATAGAAAATGTTTTTTCTCATCTGTTGCCCTGTACGTTGTGTGTACATTTCATGAAGAACGGCCCAAAATACCTTTTTTCTGAAAAAATTCTGGTTCCATTGACTTACATTAAAAGTAAAGCAGGTTTTTTCCTTCTCCTATAAAGTTACGTATCATTTTGGAGACACGAGGTTTTCTTCCGACAACACACATAAGTATTTGTATGTAATAATAATGTGAGTTATATACAGTTGTATGCAAAAGTTTGGTCAGATTCCATGTTGCTGTTGATTTTCTGAGTTTAAATAAGTTACACATCCTCTATGTCTGCATATGTAACATCTATGCGTGATAATATATAGTCCCATATGTATTAAATATTTGTAAGAACCTATATGCAGCCATTTTCTATGGCCTTTCTTCACGCTCACCCTCACAGCTCCCCCATCTACTGTCAGCCTTAATAACTATATCAGTGTCTGTGTGTAATCGGATCATTACTGAGAGGACAGAAGGGCAACGAGATACACACTCGCAGACCGAGAGCTGAATAAAACATCAACAAAGAGAAACAGGTCAATAAACAAAGCACGATTGAAATGAAAATTACAAATAAACAACTAAGCAAACTGATTTAACATAGCATAACCAGAGTGATTGCATGTGTGACTGTATTTGCCCTTCATGCGCTCTGATGCTAACTCTATTATAGGACAGTGAATGTGGGTAATAAACAGAATGAAGGTCTGTGATATGTGATGCATTCAGACAGTCCATGTCAACCCATAAAGCAGGAAAACTGTTTACTGGTTTACTGTGTTACCATAGTAACAGACAACACGCCGGCTGGTGTTACAGTGAAACTCGAAAACACGTAACACTTGTATTTATGACTTTATCAGCAATTCGAGCTCTGCTGAAAAAAACAAACCATTAAGTGTTTCTATTGGTTCCTGGTGGGTTTGTATTGCGTTTTAATGAGTTCTACACTGAACCAATTATGCTTAAATGGTTCTTTGGATGGTGAAATGGTTCTTAAAATTGATGGAGAATGTTTGTATATGGTTCCATAAAGATCCTTTCTGAAAATGGTTCTATATAGTATGGAAATCCAGAGAGGCCATGAGAGAGTTATAATTTTCCGGATTGTTATTTTGAGATAATAAGCAATTATCTTGTTATCTCAAGATAACAAAATTGTTATTTTGAAAGAATAAGTTACTTATCTTGTTATGTTGTGATAATAAAATCTTGAGATAACAAGATAAGTGACTTTTTATATCAAGATAATTTTGTTATCTGAAAATAATGAGTTACTTATCTTGTTATCTCAAGATAACAATCCAGAAAATTCTAGCAACTGCTCATGGCCTCTCCAGACTTATGTACTATATAACACCAAAAAAGGGTTTTTCTATTTTTACAAGCTTGACATCGTAGCAGAACCCTTTTTCGGTGCTTTACCACATTCTCCATCAACCTGATGAACAATTCCACCATGCAAAGAACCATTTAAGCATGCAAATGGTTCTTTGAGTGTTCATGGTTCTATATAGAACCACTGTCTTTACTCTTTTTAAATAGTATCCTACAAGGTAAGAATCTTTATTCCTTCGCCTGAAATTTACCGTTTTAGAGACAGGGTTTTGCTCTAACACTGATGATGTATCACCTTAAAATGTTAGAATTAAAACATTTTATAATCCATTCTTTTCTCATTTTTTAGCCAGGGACAGATGGAAAGGCAGGTATGTCTTTTTATCAACATTAGTAAGAAGTACATCTTGGAACACACCAGTGAGCAAGACGATAGTGGGCCACTGTTGACCCACTAATGGCAAAGCTGGTGGTCAACTGGCATTTTGCTCAGTGTTTTCTGGGCGGCCCACCAGTGTTTAAGCAGAGAATTGGACAAAATTCCTCATTTTCCACTCACAGTCCAACTGACTTATGTTTCCTTCCCTCCTTTCTTTAGTTATACTTTGTAAATTAGTTTAGTGAATAATTTTAATCCAGCACAGAGTCAGCATCATTTTCTATAAAATCATTTTATATCAGGTCTAGTAATTTTTCTCTCCGTTGTTTGTAATATTGGTCTAAGTTTATTTTCTAAAATAAAAGTCTCTGTGTGTTTAAAATCTGTTTGAGGAGATTAAAAACTAGTTAGATCTTGTATGCAGGACAGTAATCTGGGTGGTCCGAGGGGGACCAGCAGTGGCAAACAGTCTGCAGGGGCCGACCTTATCAAGCCAGTGGACCGATATGTGACTTCATTCTCTCTAATGCTAATGCTAATGAGTGCTGACGGCTGCTAACTGACCTTCGTGTGTAATTTGGCAATCTGCTTCTCGTCCACATTGGGCTGCTTGTAGACTCTGCTTTTATACCGGAACTGTAAAAGAGCACAACAAACACAAAAGAAGATGATTTCTTCAAAATGTAGGCTGTAATATGATGAAGCTGTTGCTGTTTTTAGCTATGCTGATGTACTTTAGTCTATGTTTGTAGATAACAGTGAGTCATACAGTGACAGAAACCACATAATCAATAAATTAGAGATACTGAACAACTCCACATGCTTTGAGGTGAGTGGTTTAGGCCTGCAGTTAGCACCATGCTACATCAGCTTTGTAGCTCTAGTGTTAAACTAAAGAAGCAAACCTCAGAATTCCTGGCTGACTGACTACATTTGGGGTAAAATTCAGGAAAGGGAGGTGTAACTTGATTTTTCGCTGGACTTTCCCTTTAATAACGTGATTGCTGCGGGACACCTGTGCCTCTCCTCACCTCCAGTGTTGGAATTCCTTTGCTAACAGGCTGTGGGTACTCCCGCAGGAGTCTTTCTTCATCCAGGAACTTCCCATCTCGGCCGTTGCTGGCGGGCTGGAAGAGTCCGTAGTTCAGAACGTCCTTCAGGCTCTGGCTCAGCGTACACAGGATGCGCTGCTTGGCCACCCACACCGTGGCGTCCGGGTTAAACCTCATACATTTCTGGTGGATTAAAATAAAAACATCAGACAAAGGGAAATTTTTGAGCTTTTGAGTTTGGTACCTTGTCTAAATCGAGTTCTATGTAAATGGCTGTAGGCATGTAGTGTAACCTTGGAACCTGATGTAGTGTAACCATGGAAATGGGCATAGCATAACTACTTAAATGGCTGACGTGTAACAACGGATACTGAGCTAGCGTAACTATGGAAATTGGTGTAATGGAACCATGGAAACTGATGTACCGTAACCATGGAAATAGGTGCAGCATAACCACTTGAATGGCTGCCGTGTAACAATGGAAACTGATGTAGCGTAACTATGGAAATGGGTGTAGTGTAACCATGGAAATTGATGTAGCGTAACTATAGAAATGGGGTTACGTAACCATGGTAATTGATGTAGTGCAACCATAAAGATGGATGTAGTGTAACTATGGAAACTGATGTAGTGTAACCATGGAAATAGGTGCAGCATAACCACTTTAATGACTGCGATGTAACTGACGTAGCGTAACCATGGAAATCAGTGTAGTTTATCCATGGAAACTGATGTAGCATAACTATGGAAACGAGTGCAGCGTAACCACTGAACTGACTGCAGTGTAACTATGGAAATGGGTGCAGCGTAACAATGAAAATATGTGGTGTGAGTTATTTTAAAGGGACACTCCGGCCAAAAAGAACATTTCCAGGCTTAAAGATTATTAAAACCCCCTTCTGATGATGCCCCTCACAGAAAAAACACACATATTTCACATGTGAAGTGTGCAAAAAACATGTGTTTATAATCGTAACTTTTTTAACATGTAAACATGTTTCAATAATGTGATCACGGATCCTTTCACATTTTTAACGTGAAGTGTACGGAAAACACATGCATGTATTCACAAGTGAGATTCATCTGACTTTTCTGTAAGGGTGTCTTGAGGGTGAGAGGAACTTCTGAAAAACTACAAGCACTTTGAGGGTCACTTGAGGGTGGCCTTTTAGAAAGGTAGCTAACGTTACTGCTGGGAAGCCAAATATCATGTAAACAATGCGTGTTATCCATTAGCCTCTACATCAGCGGCAATACTAGCAGTAAGGACTTCATTATCGCAGCGAGGGAGAGACGCCCAGTGGTTGTATCATGCATTTTCATACTACGTGTTGGGTATTGTAGTGAGAAAACAATGATGGACGGAAACACAAAAAAAGACACGAATCAAAACGAACAGGCTGAGGGATGCAGAGCTGTGCTACAGAATTACTACATAACATGACAAATAAAACAACAAATGCTAATTTTAGGCCATAATGTCCCCTTAAATTTTAAATGTAGAGGATAAGTGAAGTCATTGAGGATGGTCTATGATTACATTGCCAAACAGAACCTATTTCTGTGCCAATATCTGCGGTAAAAGGAATTCAGACCCACAATTCACAACACAGAGTGGACAAAAAAAGCCATCTGCTATTGAGCTATCCTTTGTTTAATTGCACTCTGTTATATAAAGACAGTAAAAGCACACACTGTCCCGATATCACGCTGTAAAGAGCCAGATGAATGAATCCCACTCAGCCCTGCCACTGGGTTACACCAAATAATGCAGGATTAGGTGTTATGGACAGTGACATTCTGGGTTTTAATACTGCACAGCTGATGATAGCAGAGCACTTGGCACTGATGTACGTGTGTCTATGTGTGTGTATGTGTGGTGTCAAGCCTTAATCTTGTTGCTGGCGAGCAGTGTGTGTGTGTTGAAGGCAGCAGAAGGCCGGTCAGTCTGAGCAGATGCCTGGCATTTCCTCCTCCGTTATTTAAGGATTCTCCTCCATTAACACGCTTTCATTCAGGCCTGTCAGAAGAAGCCTCCGAGTCCGTTTCAGAAACAAATCAAATACAATCCCCGGCCACTAGAGCTGTCGTCTCTGAGTCAACTAATCAGTCGTAGCAAAGATTCTGTTAAAGTTAATTACAAAGCTCCCGAGTGGCGCAACCGTCTAAACGTTGTCCCTCATCAGGAGATCGCGAGTTCGATCCCTGGTGATGCTACAGCCGTTCGTAGCCGGGAGTCCAAGAGAGCACAATTGGCCTCGCTCTCTCTGGGTGGGTGGGATGGCCCCTCCTTCTCCCCCCATCACTCAGCGCGATGCTAGTCGGCGCAGGCGTCTGTTAGCTGATGTAACAGACCTGGCGGTTGGCGCTTTCCTCTGAGCGCGTTCGGCTGTCCAGTGACGTTGCGTGAGCGGCAGTTCGAAAAGAAGCGGTGACTGGCTTCACAGGTCTCGGAGGAAGCCTGTGTTAGCCTTCACCCTCCTAGCGTTGATAGCATCGTGTGATTGGGGGAGTCCTAACTAGCGGGTGGAATTGGAGACGACTAAACTGGGGAGAAGACCTGGGGCCGCATTACAGAAAATTCTTATCTTTTTGTCTTAACTTAAGATCTGACAGGTCAAGATAAGATTTTTCACAAATTCATATTAAAAAGCAAATCTGACTTTAATTTAGGAATCTTATCTTACAGCATCTTATCTCAAGTTAGAAAATCTTAACTTACTTGACTGAAGTTGACAGTCAACTGTCGTTTCTGTTACCTAGCAACCAACCATACACACACAGCCGAAACGTAAACACCTAATCAAGTTAGTTAGTCAGACAGCTAACATTAGCTACCGTTACAGAGGTAAAAAAAAAGGTCACATAAAACTAAAGAGTGATAAACTGTAAGTTGTGAATACTGTGAGAGCGCCCCCTGCTGTTTATCAGAGCGTCGCCGCTCTCCAGTTTCAGTCTCCATTTCCCAAACGCTTTAACCGAGCGCGCTAACGTTACTCCTCCTAATAAACAGACACACGTTCAGCTCCGTCTCCTCATTATTCACCACCATCACTGTAATATTTCATCATCAACATTAACCCACGAAGGTGATCAGAGGGGCGGTGGAGATCGAGTCTGCAGCGTCTGAGATCTTTAAAACGCAGAGTTAGAAAAGAAAATCATCTCACAGTGAAAGCAGCGTTTTACAGTAGAAATAAATGGAGCTCATCATGCTGGTTATAGTGAACTGTGCTGCCTGACACTGCATAAACCAATAGAAACAGACGGTTAAACAGACGTTAAGACGCTCTGGAGTTTATCTTAAAGTTAAGAAAATATTTAGCATATTTTGGCAACTTAGGATGTTTCTGTAAAACCATTTTCTTATCTGGAAATATGATAAGATTATAAACTTAAGAACTGTTGCTCTGTAATGGCTTCTGTCCTAAACTCAGTCTTAACTGAAGTTGCCATGACAACAAAGCAGATGAGATATGATCTCAGACTTCAGAATTTTCTGTAATTCGGCCCCTGATTCCTAAAAGGACATCAGTCATTCCATAAATAGGACAGCAGATGAAATGCAAACAAAAACAGAAAGCAGTGATTTATAAATCTACTTCGACCTGTATCTGAACGAAAAGTAGAAAGACAAGGTATGTAATGTTTTGTCTTACCAATTTGTTTTTTGTAAATATAAGCTCATTCTGAAACTGATTTCTGCAACACACTCCAAAAAAGGTGGAGCCATTTGAGACTAGGAACATTGTGAAACAGGTGATGCAATTATGTTTACGCGTAAAAGGAGCATCTAGGAAAGGCCGAGTCCTTTATGAGCGAGGATGGGTTGAGGTGCACCACTCTGCCAAAAATGCTTCAGCAAAAAATCCAACAGTTATAAAATAATGTCCTCAATCAGGGATTGCAAGGATTTTAGGTGTATCACCCTATAAAGTGCATGATATCATCAAAAGATTCGGGGAATCTGCAGAAATCTCTGGGCATAAAGGAAAAGGCAGAAAACCACAACTGAATGCCCATGACCTTCGACCCCTCAGATGAACTGCATTAAAAACCAGCACATTTCTGTGATGATATCTCCACATGGGCTCAGAAAAACTTTGACAAACCGGCATCAATAAACTTCATCTGTTGCTGCATCCACAAGTTAAGACTGTACTGTGCACAGTGGAAGTCACATCAACAACATCCAGAAACACCGCCGACTTCTCTGGGCTCAAGCTCAGCTGAAATGGACTGATGCACAGTGTATTGTGGTCTGACGACTCAAACTTTCAGATTTTTTAATGAAAATAATGTATGTTGTGTTTTCTGTGCCAAAGAAGAAAAGGACCATCCAGACTGATAAGGTTCCAAGCCAGTATCTGTCATGGTGTGTGGGGGGCTTTTGGTAACCTGAACCTGCACATCTGTGAAAGCACCATCAACAATGAACTCAATTTAGAGCACCAGATACTGCCTCCTTTCAATATGACAACACCAAGAAACATTCTGCATGTGTTACAACAACATGGCTGCATAATCAGTGAGTGCAGGTAATAGACTGGACCACTTGTAGTCCAGAACCGTCTCCTACTGAAAACGTGTGCAAAATACAACAACACACAAAACACAAAGGCCCTGTATGGTTGCACAGCTGAAGACTTGTAAAATAGAAGAATGGCAAAAAATGAAGTAAGCACAATGTAGGTGTTTCCAATAAAGTGACCAGTGAGTGGAGGTACAAGACAGGCATTTCTAATAAAGTGGCCAGTTAGCGGAAGTACAAGTTGGGTGTTTCTAATAAAGTGGCCAATGAGTGGAAGCACAAGGCAGGTGTTTCTAATAAAGTGGCCAGTGAGTGGAAGCACAAGGTAGGTGTTTCTAATAAGGGGGCCAGTGACTGGAAGCACAAGGTGGGTGTTTCTAATAAAGTGGCCGGTGAGCGGAAGTAAAAGGTAGGTGTTCCGAATAAAGTGGCCACTGGGTGGAAGCACAATGTAGGTGTTTCTAATAAGGGGGCCAGTGACTGGAAGCACAAGTTAGGTGTTTCTAATAAAGTGGCCAGTGACTGGAAGCACAAGGTGGGTGTTTCTAATAAAGTGGCCGGTGAGCTGAAGTAAAAGGTAGGTGTTTCGAATAAAGTGGCCAGTGAGTGGAAGCACAAGGTATGTGTTTCTAATAAAGTGGCCAGTGAGTGG